AATGGCAAACCGTCGACGGTAGGTGGCGAATACAAGCGGCCCGTCATTAATGACGTGTCCTCCGCAGGGTGCCGGCTCGAGCCCTTCAGTAGATAGGATGAGTGGGAGAGCTCGCTGGTTAGAAACCGCATGCTCCCATCTCGAGAGGCGGCCAGGTATGAGGTGGTTCAGACATCTGGTGGAGGATGCCTCCGGACGCCTCTCTGGGGAGGTGTTTCGGGCATGTCCAACCGGGAGAGGCTCGGGCCGACCAAGGACACGCTGGGAGAATTATCATCTCGGCTGGCCTCTGGAACGCCTCGGGATTCTCCCGGACAGAGCTGCGTGGAAGTGCTGGGGAGAGGCTGTCTGGACCTCTTTGCTGAGGCTGCTGCCCACCCGTACACCCAGATCCGATAACGCGGAGACTACGAGTACGAGTATTACTATATACACCCAAAACTCTAAAAGATTATACCTTAATCCTCTTTCTACCACAACAAAACAGTCAAGGATGAGTGTTTATTTACTATTATTTTTGATGTATTTCTTCTTACAGGTGGAGACGGCCCTCTCCTCGAAGATCACACTCAACTGCGTCAGGACCATGAAAGCAGGAGGAGCTGGTGTATGACTGTCTGCAGAGCAGTAAGAGGATTTCTTTATCTTCACATATTTTACTCTTACACCAAACAAGTGCTCACTTATTCAATTCACTCTTACATCAGTAGAGAGAGACTTCATTTTGGAAAAAATACATGCATTTTCATCTCTCAATTAGTACTTACCCTCCAAGCCCTAAAAAAACATACAAACCACCACCTTGTAATTCACATCATAGACATCACTTCTTCCTCTCAATAAAAATCACACTTCCCCAAATCTATACCAAACTCTTCTTAATCCAAATTTCACTTGGCTTTGGTATTATTCCTTGGAAGTTAATCATCAAAAACTCTTACAGTTATTAAAGAATATCATTTAGGCATCATCATTTCATACACAGTGATATGTAACCCTTCTATCCATCTTCATTTTCACATACGGCTTCTCCGCCTGTGAGAAGAAATAAAGCAAATTTGAGTGTTTTGAGATGTTGTAAATGTTTGAGCTGCAGTGATCAATGTAAAAAATGAGCCTTAGAGTGTGTTTTATTGTTAAATATTGAAGTGGTTGAGTCGTGGCTCCATACAGGTGATTGGTGGTGATTTGCATTAAAAGAAGACACAAGCAATGTTTATTTATGTAAGTGTGTTTTGTGTCCAGGCTGCTGAATGAAGAGAGAAAAGGGGACAGAGAAGACCTGAAGTGCACACAAACACAAATGTGGTGTAAAATTCCTCACCAAAGCACTGTAGGCCGTCTTCCCCTCTGGACCTTTGCTTTGAGTTTTCTTTGCCTCTTCCTACATTTCCTATGAAGGATAACATGAGTTAAGATGTTTGAAAGTCAACAGAGAAGCTTGAGCATGTGGGGTGAACTGGGCTTGCTAAGTTAGCTAAGTGTGAATAATTTGGTTAATTTGAATTTGAGACTACCAAATTGTGATTTCCTTTGACATGACTTGGAAGTTAATGGAAGAGCTACACAAAGACATTAAATGTTACTTATTTTGATAGTTGTTTAGTGATATTTAATTGAATTGAAATTACCCAAATGTTTGTAGCATGTGCTCCCATCCGTGCTCCCTCCAAGCCAAGGTGAAAGGCCCGACTGCCAAACAGGAGGTGGGTGAATCCAATGTGATTTATACAAGGGGAACCCGGATCGTACTAAGCTGGTTGGAGAACAGAGGGGTGTTTGGCTGCTGCCTGAAACAGCAGTTGTACAGGTTGTATGTTGAAATGTCAGCCAATCATATGAACTTTTAAGGGCCGACACTGAGAGGAAAGACTGAAAACTCTGGTGGTTAAATCACCCTGGAATTATTTAAGTTGTAACAGGACTTAGAAGTGTAGAGTAAATACTGAAAGGCTGAAAGAAATAACACGTTATCTGCAGGGGTGCCGTAAAGGGGGGAAAAGTTAGGACGATTCTAAGGGTCCATTACTGACAAGGGGCCTCCCAAAAAAATTAAAAATATATTTTTTTTTTTATTTACCTTTGGTGAGGGGGCCCAATGTGAATCTTTTCATGGGGCCCAAAATCCCTGGTTATCTGAGCAGATAGCTCAGTGTTAGAAGACTCCTTTGAAGTTCTGAGGTGGTGGGCACACCACCTTATGGGTTTTGAAGGCAGGTGTGCAAAGGAAAGAGTGAAAAGCTTCAAGAGAGACAGCTTTGTTTGTCTGACCAAATAGCTCAGGCTGTTAGAACAGTGACTGGTTGATTTGAGAGTGTAGGTTGAACTGTTATGAGAGGCAATACATTTATGAGGCCCAGCATCCAGATTTTCATTGTTAAACATGTTTACTATGTGTAAAGTATATTTTGTTTTTCTAAACTACCATTCTAGCTTAGCTATTACACAGTGACTCACAAGAGTGCTACTCTGACAAGTAGTGGCAGTTAGTGAAATATATTCATCTAATAATCCCATTTTTGTAACAATATAATATAGTCATCTGTAATATAGTATAGTACAATATAATAAATACTTGGGCATGAAATCTTTATTTTGCAGGATATGAAAAAAAATACTTAAAAGGTTATATACATATATATATACACACATACACACACACACAAGATTTTAAACATTAATATAGCAGCAAACAACTATTTTAGGGGAGTGATAGCATCCTGACCAGAGAATCTGATGGGAGGCCAGAATTGTGGCTGACGAAGGCATTTGCTCTAAGGCAACATCTGATCTAATGGCAGTGAACCTTTATGATGGATAGAATCTTTACATATAACGCTATATGATTTTGGGTCCAACGTTTTCCCTGTCTACATGTCAACATTGAAAACTGAATTTCTGAGCATCTTCATCCTGCATGCATTTTTGCAAAAGGTCAGTTTTCAGTGATCTAAAAAATGTTTGCATGTGGACAAAATGCCTGTCTTCATGGACCCTGGCTACGCTACTGCTCTACGTCTACGGGTGGCACAGAAATGCTGAGGAGTTTAACTTCACCCCATATCCAAACCCAGCGTAAAGAGGTTCAGTGAATGTGGTGTTGAAGGTGTAGAGGTGGGTCAGTGTGTTAGAGATGACTCTGTAAAAGGACAGAATGCCAGCAGGACAGTCCAAGTATACTGCCACTCTGTTAGAGACACAGGACGGGGAGGGAGGAAGGATGAGTGTCCCACTGTTGTTGTGCCAGGCATTATATCCCCCATCAGTGCATGTCAGACTCCAGGACTGATCACTCCCTCCAAACTTGGAGCTATCGCCGTCTCCATTCCTTCCAATTCCCCTGTAACTCACAGCGATGTACACCTTTCCAACCCACTCCACCTCCCAGTAACAGCGACCAGTCAGACCATTTTCACACAGCACCTGGGGCCAATAGTCAAATCTCTCTGGGTGATTTGGATAAGGGTGCTCCTTCCTCAGGTCAGTCACCTTTTTGTTGCTTTCAGACAGTTTGAGGAACTTGTGTGCTGTGTTTGGGTCCAGCGTGAGTTCACAGAAATCTGATGGAGAGGACGACACACAATCAAAGACAATTAGCACATCAAAAGTCAAGCAAAGATTTGAAAATAACTCTAGCTTTGGGGAACTGGTTTTGATCTTTCATAAGGCGTGGAGGGTACACAGAATTCAGATTGAAAAATCCATCTATTTGATATGTTTTGTTTTCCTGAATCAAAGCAAAAACACACTTACACTTTCTCAAACCTGGTGTCAACCACTGAACTCCATGGGGGTCGAATCTGAAAGAGAATAACATCAAAGTCAGAAAAGAAAGCTCTCTTTGTCATGGTTAATGTGTGTGCACACTGTTATTGACAGCATCTCTCCATACTTGAGAGTGTCCAGTCTCTGGTGCGGATCCTTCAGTTCTTCAGACAGCTGCTTCACTCCAGAGTCTCCTGGATGATTGTAGCTCAGGTCCAGCTCTCTCAGGTGGGAGGGGTTGGAGCTCAGAGCTGAGGCCAAAGAAGCACAGCCTTCCTCTGTGATCAGACAGCCTGACAGCCTGCAAACACACAAAACAACACACATGGCAGATACTGGTGTAGCATATTGGTGTAGCTTAATGACTTTCCAAATCCAGCAGTGCTTGAATTAAAGAATGTTGTTTCAGAAATTGGCATTACAACTACACAACTCCATACTTCTTTTAAATTAAATGCTTCAAATCAGTTTTAGTCAAATATTAAATGGGTTTTTTATGTTGGAGGTACTTCGGTGCCTTTGAAATAAATTAACTAATTCAAAAAACACAGTAAAAATACAGACAACTGGTCTGACCTGAGAGCCTCCAGTGTACAGTGTGGACTCTCCAGACCAGCAGACAACAGCTTCACTCCTGAATCTTTCAGGTTATTGTTACTCAGGTCCAGCTCTCTCAGACTAGAGGATTGGGAGGTGAGAACTGAGGACAGAGCTTCACAACTTCTCTCCGAGAGGTTACAGCCACTCAGCCTGGAGAGGAAATAATAAGCAAAAAATGTTTTTTAAAAAATCTTTCAATGTCAATCAATATTATCACATTTAGAGCACTCTGGAATAAATACAAGTCTCACACTTACAAAGCTTTCTTGGAAGCTTTGATCACTGGCAGCAGCCTGAGAAGAGCCTCCTCTGAAGCAGAGTATTTCTTCAGGTCAAACACGTCCAGATCGTGTTCTGATGACAGTAAGATGAAGACCAGAGCTGACCATTGAGCAGAAGACAGTTTGTCGGTAGTGAGACTTCCAGATCTCAAATACTGTTGGATCTCTTCTACCAGAGAAAGATCCTTCAACTCATTCAGACAGTGGAACAGATTGATGCTACTTTCTGGACAGGGGTTCTCCTCAATCTTCTTCTTGATGTTCTGGACTGTTTCCTGTTTGCTCCATGAGCCACTTCCTGTCTGTGTCAGCAGGCCTCGTAGGAGTGTCTGATTAGTCTGCAGTGAAAGACCCAGGAGGAAGCGGAGGAACAAGTCCAAGTGTCCATTTGTACTCTTCAAGGCCTCGTCCACAGCGCTCTGGTAGAAATGTGTCTGTGTACATTTGATTTTTCTACTTTTAGACTGTTCTTCTGACAGCAGATTGACTCCAGAGTTGGTGAAGGTCAGATGGACATGAAGAGCAGCCAGAAACTCCTGAACACTCAGATGGACGAAGCAGAACATCTTGTCCTGGTATAGGCCTCTCTCCTCTTTAAAGATCTGTGTGAACACTCCCGAGTACACTGAGGCTTCTCTGATATTGATGCCACACTCCGTCAGGTCTGATTCATAGAAGGTGAGGTTTCCTTCCTGCAGCTGCTCAAAAGCCAGTTTTCCCAAAGACTCAATCATCTTCCTGCTCTCTGGACTCCAGTGTGGATCCGTCTCAGATTGTCCGTGATACTTGACATTGCTCAGTTTGGACTGAACCACCAGGAAGTGGATGTACATCTCAGTCAGGGTCTTGGGCAGCTCTCCTCCCTCTCTGGTTTTCAACACATCCTCCAGGACTGTAGCAGTGATCCAGCAGAAGACTGGGATGTGGCACATGATGTGGAGGCTTCGTGATGTCTTGATGTGGGAGATGATTTTGCTTGCTAGCTTCTCATCTGTGAACTTCTTCCTGAAGTACTCCTCCTTCTGTGGGTCAGTGAACCCTCTGACTTCTGTTGCCATGTCAATACACTCAGGCGGGATCTGATTGGCCGCTGCAGGTCGTGTGGTTATCCAGAGGCGAGCGGAGGGAAGCAGTTTCCCCCTGATGAGGTTTGTCAGCAGCACGTCCACTGAGGTGGACTCTGTGACATCAGTCAGGATCTTAGTGTTGTGGAAGTCCAGGGGAAGTCGACACTCGTCCAGACCGTCCAAGATGAACACGACCTGGAACTGATCAAACCTGCAGATTCTTGCATCTTTGGTTTCAGTGAAAAAGTGATGAAGAAGTTCCACCAAGCTGAACTTTTTCTCTTTCAGCAGATTCAGCTCTCTGAAGGTGAATGGAAATGTGAACTGTATGTCCCGGTTGGCTTTGTCCTCAGCCCAGTCCAGAGTGAACTTCTGTGTTAAGACTGTTTTGCCAATGCCAGCCACTCCCTTTGTCATCACTGTTCTGATGGGTTCATCTCTTTCAAATGAAGGTTTAAAGATGTCTTCACATCTGATTTTTCTTTCAGTTTTTACCACTTTCTTTGATGCTGTTTCAATCTGCCTGACCTCATGTTCATCATTGACCTCTCCGGTCCCTCCCTCTGTGATGTAGAGCTCTGTGTAGATCTGATTCAGGAAGGTTGGGTTTCCTGCTTTAGCGATCCCCTCAAACACACACTGGAACTTCTCCTTTAGGTTCGATTTGAGGTTAAGCTGGCACATAGCAGGAGATCCTGAAATAACAAACAACATTGTTGAGTATAGTTTTCAGAAAAAGTGCGACAAGCTCACAGGGCGTGTGGGGGCTGCAGTTGTAACGTAAGTGCTTCTTATTACTTATTATAGGCAATCAGAAAGGCTCAGTTTGAGTGACTCTGAACGTCAAACTGTCAAAGTTCAGATGACCAACATATTGCCAAGATGTAAAATAAAGAAAGGGCTTAACGCAGACCAAAAATTCAGCTGTGAAACAACTTACAACTTCTTGATGTTTAATAAGCGTTTACCGCAAGTGGAAAAATAAGATGTGTGAAGATGTGAGAAATCCTCTTACTGTTCTTCAGACACTCAGCCAGCTCCACCTGCTTCATACTCCTCAGGAAGTGCAGTGTGATCTTCAGAAATGCCTCTCTGCTGCTTCGCCTCTGCTCATCCTCACAACCTGACGACACCTCATCATCCCTGTGACTCCCTAAGCACCCTGGGTAATCCGGGCTCAGAACCTTCTGCATCTTGCTCAGCTCTTCCTTCACAAAAGTGACAATTTTCTCCTCCAGCAGCTGGAACAGAGAACTATATGAATGATACAAACTAAAATCACGGAGCCAAACATCAGATCCACGGTGAATCCACTGGTCTAAAAAGTGCAGTATGGAGATTACTGTCAGCAGAATAGATGTAAAAGTAGTTGCTTTACATGTACAGACCGTGAATATGGATTCCAGGTGTGTTTGATGCTGCTGGGCAGACTGACCGCTGGGAACCTCTGGGATCTCCTCATCGAATCTGTGGAGGAATCATGAACAAAAAACATGACGGCTCACAGTTCAACAATTTGGAAATTTTTCCACACATGTTGTCATGTACGAAACGACCCAAAATGAACCCTGTAAGTGGACTACTGATTACCATCAGCAAATTATTTCAAGCACCATTTTTAAACATGTATTTGTATGTATGATTCCATCCCAAGTTATGTGATTCACATCCAGGTCGTCGATCACTGAAACCTCCCTTCTTGGTTATGCTCCTAAATGAGGCAGGTCAACAGCATAAAAAGTGAATTAAACAGCTGACCTCTGTTCAGAACTGGGATGTCCATCTTTTAACATAAGAGGCACAGACATGGACTGGAGGGACACACAGCTGGGTTCAGGTCCAGGATCAGATTCTGGTTCAGAGGCCTCTGGTCTCTGGTGGAACCTGGTAGATAGAGAAAAGACCATCAGAGAGGGGAAATCCCTCTTTAGTCTTCAACCACAGAAGCTGCTGAGAAAAGACCAACAATCAGGTTTAAAGTAACACAGACCAGCAACATTCAGACCCAACTGCATGTGCAGACAGGATTACTTTACTGCACTCTACTGTGTTTTGTCCATCTCAGGCTGTTAGTGTTGCAGCACTGCTCTCTTTCACCGTCAGGTTGTATCTTGAGTGCACACTCGAGACTCGTTATCAGACCCGGTATCAGTAGATAATCAATATTCAAGGACTCATCAGGATCAGGGAAAAAAACTTTATGACATGCAGAGTTAGTAACAGCTCACCTCTGTTCAGGACATGAGAATCCATCTTTAAACATAAGAGGTATAGACATGGACTGGAAGGACACACAGCTGGGTTCATATTCTGGTTCAGATTCTGGTTCTGGTTCAGGTTCAGGAGAGTCTGGTCTCTGAGAGATCCTGGAAGACAGAGACAAGACGAGGACTCAGAGGGAAACTCAGTTTTTGGTCTTTAATCATGTCTGTTATCACTGCTTGAAGCTTCTCATTGACAATAAAAACTTCCACATCTAACAAAGTATTTTTAAAGTGTCATATTAAGGCTCAACACAACAATACTTTCTGTAATACTTTCTTTTAATAACATGTTACTCGACATAATGTTTTTTTTTTCTGCAAAATAGTTTGTAATGCTGCTCAGGATATAGAAAGGCAAAACGTTGACTTACGCTGTCTTTAAAGAAAGTTGTCCCTGAAATAAAATCGCTGGTCTCTGGTGGCTCTTCATGGACACACAGATCAACTTCCTGCCAGCGAAATAACAAACACACATACACACACACATTATAAATTATATTATAAATACAGCAGTTATTATCATTATTGATTAATCTGCCAATTCTTTTCTCAATTAACTGATTAATTGTTATATAGAGTTTCAGAAATAAATTGATCAGTCAATTAAAAGAAAATTAATTGGCAACTATTTTAAAAATCTATTAATAGAATAAAAAAATCTATTAATTGGTAAACAAGACGAAGCTTAAATATTCAACACAACCTAAATTCTTTAGTTGAAGAAATCAAAAAAAATTATTGGACTGAGCAGAGCAGCACACATTACAACACATTTCCTCTTTCAGTTGTGTGTCACTGTCTCTCTTCTCTTCTACTCTGTCTCTGTTAATTTCTATATTGTTATTGTTTTTAATCTTTTTTAATGACGTCGCATTTATATATGATGTCATATTGGTTCTCCTGTTTCAATATTTTCTCCAAGAAATAAACATAGAAAAAAAGCATTATACACAATAAGAGCATGGAAATATATGATTCTATTTGGAATCATCTTTTCACAGCAGTTTGTTTTGTTGTTTGTCTTTGACATCTGATCTCTTCATCTAGAAACAACGTGACATGTAGGTATGGGGGGGTATGGGCGGTTTTTCCAGTTAATATTCTTTGGTTGAGTGGAGGCAAAAGGTCAGACCGCAGAGTTTCGTCCTCCTGGAATCAGATAGGGAACTGGTATTTTGGACTGAAAGGTTGCGAAATTTATCATATCTACTTTTTTATGACTCAGGAGCAGCCTACGGGTCAGGCGGGTTCGCCACCCATGTAATTTTTCTCCTTAAGGACACAGAGCTGTGAGTGCCGGTGGCACAACACCGGTGTAAAAAAAACAACAACAGAATCTCCGTAATTAAAGCTGTGACTGTTACAGCTGTTTGTTTTTGGCTGATTTTGTGTCACAGACAAATCTGCACAGGTGAACACGAGCCCTTACTCAGCTGCTGTGAGGCACGTCACGCGCAAAAATATTTGAGGTGGAGGCTAAGCAGCGACTGTCTGGAGGTGAGCTGAGAGAAAAGCAGAATAAAGAGGACATAAAAGAGTGAAAAGAGGGAAAACTTTACCTGTAACCGCAGAGAACAAGGTGCGTGGTGACGCGAGGCTTCAATGCTTCTTGCGGACGCGTTCACTGACAGCTGCGGACACCACCGACGTATGGACGCTCTGTAATCCTGTCATCAAACAGGAAATAACCAGGAGGCGGGGATTTCCACATCTCTGCCTTCTGTCCTCAGATTTCAGTCCGTTGCCAGGAAACCGAAGTGTCCAACTTCTACTTTGTACAGATATAACTTATGACAGATGTCATGTATAGTATTCAGATATCACTTAGATCAGATCAGTTAGCCAGTCTGTCTTTATTATTTGGATTCATATTTGTATATTAATCACTGCAACAACAACAACAACAAAAAAATATTTATTTGTAGTTGTTATTTAGTGCAAACAAGCCTAATTACAATCAGGTCATTAAAAATGGGTCATTTCTGAGTCATAATTCGCTTTATTTTCACCTTTTCCTGTCGGTGATAAATGTCATTTCAGTTTGAATTTGATCCTAATAATAAAGTGTGAATCCTGTTGGTCACGTTAGTGTAATGTGGTGTTGTAGTGGCTCAATGTGACCGCTGGAGGGCAGTAAATGCTCCATTATTTCAGTCAACATCAGTATTAATGTGTATAAATATGAATGTGTTGTATGGAGAGAGCTAGTTACTCACTCTGACCACTGGAGGGCGATGATCACTCACACTCACATCTATTACATTGATGTGTTTCTTTCATATGATTTCACCTCAACACTGAACAGGTCTGCTGGACTCTGCTGGTCCTCGTCTCCTCAACTGGGAAATCTGCACTAAAAGAACACATGCATACACAGAGACTTATTTCCTTCTTGCCTCCTTCCTGCTCTGTTTCTGATTTTATGTACAAGCTACAGCTCCTCAGCAGGCAGAAAATGTGCTAAATAGAGTGGAAATATATTATCAAAATGGTACGGCTTGATACTGAATTATCACTTTTTTATGTTTTCTTTGGTATCAAATTAATCCAGTAACAGCTGTCTGTATATTACTGGCTACACTGCAATCAGGAACTGCTGAGAGCTAATTCGGCATGCTTTTATTGGTGCCAGTTTTGCCAAGATGTAAACAACTGAAGGATCAAAAACAAGGCTCAAGGTGTATCCCACAGCTAACTCTATAACTCTATGGCAACATTACATGTTCACTTGCAAAAACACATGGGAGTACTTGCTTTTCAACACTAGATGTCAGGCATCACACAGGTTCAGGGTTTGGAGCGGGGTTGCTGCTTAAAAATACTGAAAACACAAAAGTGATTTTATTGTGGTGCCCAAATTTCTGCCTCTTGCTTGTCAATGATTTAAAAGTCAAGAGAAAGTGTGAATCAAAACATTAGCAAAATACATCACAATACAAGAAAATGAGAGTGAATCTTGTTTGTTTTTTTTGATAATCAAACATTCACTACAGTAAAAACATACTTTACACAAACTTTAGAACCACTCTTTTATTTTGAAAAAGAAATGTTTGAAGTCACTTGTAGCCTTGCCTTAAACACAATCACCTCCGATTTCATTTATTTTTCTTTAACTTCTTTTTATAAATTAGAATGGTATATTATGCATGCAATACCGCATTAGCCTCTTAGGTTTTCATCTTCCACAGAAAAAAAAACAAACAATAAACACAAAAATTCCCTTAAAAGTCCAGATGAAGCTGCTTGGAAAAGGGTGGTTGGTTGGAGAAGCCACAGCATGAAGCGATGTACACAGTTTGCGGTTGCATAGTACAGTACATGAAGATCCTCATTTTTAAAACAGCATGCCGTTTTGTATTGCACATTACTGAAACTTTGTATACTGGACCTTGCTGTTGCTCCAAGCGTCCCACATGGGTCGTCGTCTCATTTCAGCACATGTATACAGCAAATAGCATCTCTCAAAGACATTATGTACATTTATTTGTTATAAAAATAATTGCCAGCAAATATTCATCTATTACTTTTCTACTGGAATAAATGTTTGTTCTTTTGCTTCTTTTGTTTCTTTTTTTCTTTTGTTTTACATTTTACCAAAGAAAAATCTCCCTATAAGTTTTGTATTTTGTGGTCACCTTGAGATTTAATCTGTGAAAAATAAAAACAATGAATTTTGTTTGGAGACAAAAGTTTGGCCACGGGTAAAGGCGAAACAAATGTAAAAGAAAGCCAGGACAGGCAGTTTTTTTTTTGAGGTCGGTGAGTGAGTGTGGTGTTATTTTGTACTGATCTAATTCCACAGCTCAAAAGGGCAAATGTCTCTCATCATTTTAGGGCATTCACAAAGAGAGGGATGGTGGGGCGCTGGTCTGGAAATCCCTTCTGATTGTCTCAAGCAGCCCAGCTCAACATTGGTTGGTTTGATTTCAAATGGAAAATGGCTCCCTGTTCAATCAACCAATGGGATTTTTATGCTATGGGGCAGAATGAGACAGAAAAGCGTGCTTGTAAACAGTAGCATTATGCACTTTAACACCTTCTTTTTCATTTGCAGTCTTCTTTGTGGGGAAAGAAATTCTTGAAATAATCTGTCCTTATAACAGATTCACATTGTAGGAACACCTGCTCAAAAACCACCTTCATTTTTTTTTTGCTTCCTCTTTTGTGCTATACACATTGTTCAGCATTACTTTTTCCCTTTTATCCAGATCTATACAAAGTGATCTATCTATATGAGAAGATATGACCCCTATTCTTAAGTTTAAATCAATAAATTAGGAGCTGCTTTGCACCAGAAAACATTTCTCAGCATTTAATGTCAGGTCAGGCTTAAGTTGTTGTCAGTGGCGTGAGGGGAGGAAACTTAATCTAATTAGGTCTCTTCAAGACATCTTGAAACTGTGTCACGCTGTAAAATTATTGGGGACAGTCAAATATCTGTTATGTAGGACAGAATTTATATCAACAGCAGCATGAAATATCCTCCTGACTAGTTTTCTTAGTAATTAAAGGAGATATTATCAAGACTAAATGTTGAAAGCTAAATCCTACGAGCAACCAGATTATTTATTCAACCTTTAGTATCCCTATGAATTACATTCATATTGGTTTTAGATAGCACTCTGTATAGATCCCAGACAAAAAAAACATTATGACTCAATATTTAAGGGAATGGATCATCTATTGAGCCAGTATTTATTTTTTAGAGGTTCATTCACTGCTTGTAAGGCACCGAGCTAATCTGGTGCTGCAGCTGTCACTACTGTGCATCGTTGTTGTTAGAAGGGGAGAAGTCTAAAGGTTAAAAGTAGCTTCAAGATTCATCCAAACATGCCAAAGAAAACTCTTTTTGACAGATGTGTTCTGTTTCACATTGTACACATTTGATATCAGAGAAAACAACAGGAAATTCAATTGTTTGTTTCACTTTGAAAAATATATTTCTCTGGCAGTGTGTCTGCATTGGTTTACGCCAGAAGATAAAGGAACAATCTTGACTTACTAGAAAATAAATTGATTGATTAAAGGAATGAAAATGGTCAAATAACTTGGAAGTTTGATTTAAAAAAGTGTAAATAAAAAAAGCATAAAAACTTTTTAAATGACATAATTCATTCATCAATTCATTTAGGTATTATTTATGTCAGGTTTGGTCCTCCATACTGGTATAGAAAATAACATAACTTGAATTTTATGTGGGTTATAGCATTTTGAGGCATTGCAATGCAAACTGTCTACTTGTGTGGTAAAACAACACAGAACAAAGACCACTTAAAGACACACTGCCAGGGAAGTACGTGAAATAGTCAGCGCACATATCCCCCAACGGAAGCCAAGAGCAGCCAAAATGTTATCAACCTTATTATCTTCATATCTTTAGACTACAGACTGTTGAGATAATACATTTTGTTCTAATGGTTGTTTTGTCACTCAAAGATAACGACTTAACTATCTCATAGTTTCAGGATAGCAAATGGTGCTTTATTTTGCCGGATGTCTTAAAGACATTTGAGCTAAGGAAACACTGAGTATTTGTTCAATTTAATCTTTTATTTTGCCAAAAGTGTCATTATTTCAAAGCCTCGGCCTTAAAATGGGCAAGCTACCACAGTTTGTTATCTGAAAATGATAAGATAAGTCGTAATCACAAGACAATTTGATATCTTCAAAGAATAATATTTGTACAGTGTATTTTGATCATCACAACAAGCCTTGGAATCATGATTAGCAACCACAGCAGCTCTCTGCTTTCATACAAAGCACCATGTTTGTTAGGTAAACGATTGCCCATGTCTTTGTGAGGGCCAGGGCTATATCACTGTTTGACAGTTGTTTCAGTGCACTTTCTACCATATAACAAAATTCTGAATTAAGAGAAACTATTATCATTGTGAAGTCCCCTCATGCAATCCACTCAAACTCTTCCTGAATGACATAAACCAACACTTTAAGTTTTCAGTGTGTCATTTCAGTGTATTTAGTTACAAACCTCATGGTTCCAGAAATATCATTCATCTGTAATCTGGGCCATCTTTTTCTTTTTTTTTTTCTTTTTTTTTTTTCTTCTTTTTTTTTTGGAGAAAAGTGCCCTATACTTCTACAAACATCAACTTGATTACAGAAGGGTTCTATTTTACGTTTGGAGGGAACATGCTCTGCAGTCAGGACAACATGCCAGCTACACAGAGAATGAACATGATGCAATCGATCCTGCCATGTCACATTTTTAATGCTTTAATCCCCTAAAACCAACAGAAGGAACATTGATAGCAATTAACCAATTGCATGACTTACTATTGACTTGGTAACCAACATGTACACGTTTTGTTTTACCTCTAAATGACTGATTTCATTGCTAATAAATGCAAAACAACCTGTAGCTTCAGCAGCAGATGCTCCTTTAGGTCTGTTAAACTAAAAAAATAAATAAATAAAAAGTTCCAAATCTTATTATTCACGCTGGCAGGGGCAAAAACATCAGACAGAACATCCCAAACTGCTCGAAAGGTTCTCGCAGCGTTGGTTTTTATGCTGGTCCACATCTCAACAACATCAAATGCATCTCAAGTATTATTTTGCTATTGTATTTCACTATACTATCTGACAGACTGTCACATCTATTTCCTTCTCTAACTCGCTAAGTGCTACCTGTTTAGAACAGAAGCAGTATTGCCTTCCCCTACAGTGTAACTGAGATCTGATCCCAGCACCATCAGAACCTGTTTCTGCTTATGACGGTGAGGGTCTTCACCCAAATGAAATCCTAAAGCTATGCTACAGAAAAGCTGGCCTTGCTCAAAGTGACTTTCAAATAGCAAAATAGTTTGGGAATGTGAAGCACCAGTTTTCAAAACTAGCAACCAAATATCATCTTCACGCCCCACCACAAACCCAGCACCTTCCGCCTACCCACAGTCAGGTGATTTAGAAAATTGGACCTCCGTATCTACACCTCATCTCGGGAGAATCCAGAATGCTGGGTACAAAATATCAATGAAGTGGATGCGGAGGTTGATCATCTATCAGCATGCAATAAGCTAAATGGTGAGAGGATTTATACATGGCCCACAATAGGGGTCAGCAGCCTTCAGCAGTCTGTGTGCAATGGACCTCCCTCTGACCTGGTGCGATGTCCCAGGCACTTAGAAGCCCATACACCATCACCATCTGACCACTATCCATAATTAGCTTGCTGACACAGGCAACAAGCACAATCTGCGCTGCACGTCTGCTGAGCATCGTGTTAGTACAATCCCAAAAGGTCCCAGTAACATAAATTAGAGGAATTGATTTTACAGCATAAGTTAATGTTGGCATCCTGAACCTCTTGACTACTCACGCTGTTGATTGATGGGGTTGCCCTGGCAGCTTGATTAAAAACAAACACCTGAACATGACTTTGTTTGACTTTGAAAGAGAAAAATTGCCAGGTAGATAAAACAAATGAACGCAAACTAAAACAAAAAGGTACAATTTGGGACCATCTTGGCTCTGTTGCAGCGTTTATTTTGGGTGGTATCTGGGCCATTTGGGCCCCGGTGGTGATAGACTTGGGCTCAGAGCCGGTGCCGGGAGTCATGGCTGTAGCTGCCCGGTGAACTGCGATTGCGATGTGGCTTGTATGCATCCTGATAGGGGTCCTGGTAGTCCTGGTAGGGGTCCTGCTGTTCTCGGCTATGCTGCGAACCAGACGACATGCGGTTGCGTCCCTTGTGCGCCCGCTCGTTGTGGTAATTCTCGTCCGATGTCATCAGGTTGCGTCGTTCGTTCGGGGTGGAATGATCTCCCGTGTGGTTGCTCTGTCGCATTCTTTGGCTCTGCTAATCACATGGACACACCAAGGACACGGGTGAGGCTGGGGCAACAATGCAGTACTCCGTTTTTCTTTTTATCCAACTGGTCAGAGGGAGAGCGTCTGAGCTCTTGTGGCCATGATGATATTTTGCTTTTCATGCTTCATAATCTTGGTCAGATATTAAAAGGATAGTGAATTTCACTGACTGGCAGTGGGTCTGATGAAATGTATAAATCTATATTTATCTATGTATATGTGTATATATGTATATTCACTTTATAATACTCTATGTAGATCATGTACATTCAGGAACAATGTTTTTTTCAATGGATTTCACTGGTCAAATGCTCATTTCTGACAAAGAAATTTCAACACAACAATGGCATTAAATTGTATATTTGGGTCGCAAGAAGTAACAGAAACACAAGGATTTAACTTGTGATGGGATGGTTTCTGTACCTGCAGTCCAGAGATGCTGGTGGGATAGGGGGTGAGAGTGGTTGGGCCCAGGTTGCGTCCCAGCAGGGGGTTTAGGGGCGTTGCCATCGAGGTATGGGTTGCTTTCCAGTAGGCCTCCAGGTATTCGGCGAGATGCTCGCAGGCGTCCTCCAGCTGGTTCTCGTCCAGGATGATGTCAAACATTTCCTGTTAGCAGCAGATGGTCGGAGGAAAGAAGTAAGACGAAGGTAACGATGAAAATGAGATGGAGCGCTTATGATCTCCAGGCTGACACTGTATGTGAGGTCCTGCTGTGTCACTATGTACTGTGTAAAGAATGCTTTAACATAACACCATGCACACAGAGAAACTGAAATAAGACACAAAATATAAGATTCAGGAAAGCTTTTGGATTTTGTGAAAAAGTGAAAGTCATTAGCCAGTATACGAGAATGGTCACTTACTGGGGGACACTGGGCCAATTTGTCTGCCGCCACAAGCTGGACATTCAGGTGTTTGCTCTGGGACTTTCCTCTGGACTTGACTAGCCTCTGCAGGACCTGGACGGCAGGATAAGAAAGTACATGATGCTCCAGTTATAATGAAAGTATCACAGCTTTGGCTGCACTCGTTTCAGGTCACTCAGTACCCTCCTCATCACATGCGCAGTGCAAAAGTGGTGGAGGGGTGTGGAAATTCTAGTTTATAATAAGCAACGGGGTATATTAAAAAACTGCAGATGTATGTGCTGTTTTTCCTCCTTTAGACCCGTCCATTCATATTGATAGTTAGTTTGAATATCTGTTTTTAATCATTTTATCATGTCTGTCTATTGATCTGAAATGAACTGAATTGATTCATTAATTCATTACATGTCAGACATAAATTAAATAAACTATAAAAAATATGTAAGAGACCGCACTTCTAATGTGTATGCAGAATTATTGGAAGTATTTATAGAATCCTGTCTCCTGGTTTTACAGCCGATGTTGCTGCTTCCTGGTCGGTTTTACTGGGTCAGCTGTAGCAAAGCGAGCATTTTGCGTGCTAGGAGGAAGTGATGTTAACCAGTGAGAAAGACCAGGATGCACCCTCTCACTCAAAATTTGAAGACACACAGGAGTAGTATTTGGGAGGTTCTCAACGAGTCTGAGTGGTCATTACTGTAGCCCCAGTGTAGAGGGAAAAAGTGCAGCAGACGTACTCCTCCATGCAAAGGTGCCTTGGTGTGGATCTGAAACCAGACCTGTACTGACTCCACACACTACATTTAAAAGTCTTGCGTCTCAGTCAGAGACGTTCAAGTCCAGTATTTCATGCTGGTTTTGCAGGGAACACTGTGTTTGTGCTGAGCTCTTACACCAGTGGAGGGAAAGTATCAACCCAACATAGAGACTGTTACCTTTAACATGTCTAGGAGTTGTTGCTGTTGGTCTCCACCAACTGAATGACTCTGTGGGACAGTAGCTGTAGAGATCATATCATATGCTTAAGCTTTGTCCAGGCTTTACTTGATTATTAGGTTGTAACCCACTAAATAAAAGAGTTATGTGGATTCACAAAACACTACATAAAAACTAAATGCAACCAGCTGTTGAGTTAAACTGATCTTATTACTTTGAGATGTGTCTTTTATGTTTATCTGTGTCCTTCCATCATACAGTACCTTTGGCGAGGAGACCTTGACATGCACAATGATGGGGGCCAGGGAGGTCTTGAGCAGCTGGGCTGGGTGGTTGATGGTGTCAGCATCCAGCACCACCAGCTGCAGGGAGCGCGCCAACTCAAAGATCCTCTCGATCTCACTTTGAACCTCAGCTGATGAATCAATGATCAAATAGTTAATAGTTAATTAACAACACTTCCCTTGAATCAGCCCGTGTCACTGTCTATTTCAAATATGTAAGAGTTTAAAGTTAAACGACTAGTCGATTTATTGATTAGTACTGAAAAGATAAACTGAGCACATTGCAACATGTAGAGCTTTCTTACCTAAGCTGGAGCGAGTGTTGGATCTTTCAATGATGGCCCTCTTACTGGGATTGTTGAGAACAGACCGCTTGGCTAATGATATATCTGCCGTGACACGTGTGATAGATATCCTGTAAAAATAGGACAAATATGAAAATACATATAACATCTTTTGCTCTTTTACATCTGCTATTGTAAAAAAATAAAAATCACATTCATCTTATGCGCAGCTGTAAACTCTGACCTGTACGCTTTTTTTAAATTTTTGCTTCCTAGGGTGAAGAGAATCCAATGTAGACACATTAAAATGCAGTGATTTGCATCATTCCTCCACTTTATCCAGTAGTGTCCAAGATGTGACTTTAACCAAAAACAAAAATAATCAAACTCTTGTCACACTTGTCTTACCTGCCGTCAAATCTGTGCTTGAGGAAGTCAAACAGTGCTTTCTGCATCATGTCTGTCACCTGTGTAGACAAACAGAAGTTGTAAACAGAACTTATTGTTGTGGTTTCATTGTTTAAGATGGTCACTGGGTTGATTTAAGGTGCAGTTTATGTTGTTTTAAGGATTCAATCTTTTCCATGATTGTAACAGAAACATTATTCATGATTTTAGAATCACGTTTCTGTTTAATCGTGATCTGTCTATTTTATCTGTCTATAATCAATTTGACTGCTGTCTATTTCAGACAACAGCTTTTCAAAAACATGTTTAATTTCAATGAGGCTTTCCTGGTTCAATACAAAATAACCTTGTGGCATTTATATCCAGCTGTTTCACTATGAACACGAAACTCAACCCTGGTTCTGTCTGTGTTTAGCTTCAGTTCAAGTTTGGTTTCCTTCTTTGGTTTCTAATTGCAGGTGTAAATAGTAATGTAAATGTGTGTGTCTCTGTGTTAGGACTGCCACAGAATGATAATCTGTCCACAGTGTTTTCCCTGGCTCCTGCCCAGTGCATGCTGGGAGAGGCTCCAGCCCCCCCTCCCACCATGACTCAAAATATGAATAAGCCCCCATCCATCAGGAGGACAAGACAGATGGCATTTCTTGTGTTGCTAAAAAAACATAATGACATATGATGCCTTATCTGACTAAACAGGATTGATCTGTCGTCATCAAATGTTTCCCATGTTACCAGCAGTGGAATAAATTAATGATGCTAACTTTTATTTTATTGTGACTTTAAATATCTTTGCAGTTCGTATTTTTTCTTTTGTCTATTGTGAATTTTAAACTCCATCCTTTGCTTTGTCCATGTTTTCAGTATCAGTATTATTGTAAAAAAGACACTTTTCTAAAAAGGTGTCACACTGATTTTTTCAGTATGAAAAAACATGACTAATGTTAAAGTGGTTGCTGGTTGTGATGAACCCACTGAAAATATCCCCCAGTTATTTGGAGCTATTCAGCTGCTTTAGCTCATTGTTTTGGTCTTACAGCCTTAAGCTCTACTGTGTATTTTAGAATAATCAGTTGTTGTTTCAGTCAGTGTTTGTCATCCTCATATTGAAAGCATTAAATGTTGTGAATGTTCCTAATATTGACTTTAAGCTCCATCCACATCCTCATTGTCTCCTAAATATAACCCGTAGGCGTCAGTATCTACATCCTTCTCATGTGACAGTTAACAGCTCTTGGGTTTCATCAACTTCTGTATTTCATGACAATTATAGAACTGTATATTTTTACCAATATTTAGCACACGATTTGTAAACAGTGCCTTTATAGAAAGCAATGAAAGCAATGAAGGCAGTTAAAGGAAGATGCTCTTCCCAAAAAAGCTCAAATCTGCCAATTATACAACATATTTTCATGTGACCTCTTAGTCTCCTCATTAGTCTGGCTGCAATCTGGATGTTACGTGGGCGATGACACATTCACCATTAACTGCGCCAACAGCGAGCTATTTTGGGTGACTGAGGAAAAGACGTACAGGACTCAACTCCTTTCTGTAATCTTGTCATTTTTGAATCAGTAAAGATCCCATTTAATAAGCTGTATATTCAAGCTTTCATTCAGTGACGCTGAGTCAGTGATATTTACCGTGTGTGAAAAACAAACTCTTAATCAGTGACAAAAGTAAAAGGATATTTTTGATTTTTTTTTCCAACAGTGGCAGCTCACCTCATAACCCTTGAGCGAGGGTCCCACCAGCACTACAGGCCTCATGGAGGGAACCACGTCGTACGGGGGAATGTGCTCCGTCTGTTGATGCAGAAATATTTCATCAGCAGCGGTCGACTCATCACAAGCAAAACAATGGACCCAAAATAACTCCACAGAAAACAGTGTTTTACATAAAACCAGAGAGTCAGCTGAACTTCAGTCACAATTAGTCTTAAATGGTATATTGTCATGTTGGGGCATGTAGCAAATGATAATGTACTAATTGTTGTAACTTCTCCAAATGTAATAACATGAAAAATGAAAATAAAACAATTTGCAAAGCAATTAATCCATGCAAAATGTCAAATCACTTTGACAGAGACTTTACTTTTCCTGATAATATAGGACATTATTATTTGGTAATTTAATTAATGAATACATCTTTTGGCAACTGACTTCAATAAAAGATTTAGTTTCAAACAATTGGCAGAACATGTTGTTACATGTTGACCGGCTGATAAATGTTTTCATTTGCTACATAGATAGATGGATATGATTAGCTACACTGGTGTCGTAATATCACAAAACTACAGTCTAATCCATTCACACGATACCAGACCAAATATCACAATAAGGAGCACCACAACACCGTACCATGCCAAAGTGATTATACTAGATATTAATAGATATTATGTAGATATGTAAATGAGTTTATTTAAAGATGCTGAGCTGACACGCAAATGAAAAAATACTATAACATTCCTATAGTAATGTTAAAGCAACACACAAGTACGTTTCTTGGATTCACAGAATTCATGTGGTATATTCATCACTCCACAAAACTATATTCAAGTTGAGAGAGGAAGTTCATTCTTGACTTTAGGAACTTAAAACAAAGAAAACAAACTCTAGACTGCACCTCATTGTCTTCCTGAGTGGGTGGAGTTTGGGCAGTTGTCACGGAGACAGTGCAATAATATAGTGACTGTATTGTACACTGAGCCTTCGCCATGACAACTTAGTAAACTCCATCCACTGACGAACTTAATGACTCAACTTACCATCTTTTCAAAATAAGACATTTCTATGCTGCAAGCTGACTGGTGTTTCAGGTTCACCGATAAGTAGGTTACATTTCACAATGAGATATTTCAGTCGCTTCCACAGCAGCTGAAGGTGTCTTCACAATTCACAAAGCAAACTTTCTGACAACATTCAGCCTTCTTCCATTTCTAATTTAATAACTCCATGGACTTTGTTGTAGTCACTTTTTCTTTTTCTTTTTTTTTTTTACTTTGGGTTAGGTTGATTGGGTGGTGGTGTCAATCTTCTCATTTCACTCTTAGCAAATAAGTATATTTCCCAAAATGTGAAACTATTTCTTTGATATAGATGTTTTGGTCTGGTTGCCACTAAAGCTGAACTGCAAACCACATACATAACATGATGGACGTAAACAGCAAGTAAAAAACAAAACAAAAACACAACTGCATTCCCAAAATTATTACCATCAAAAGTATCAGCTGCAGTTATGACACGTGGCACTAAAGTACTTTGGCATCACAGGAATGGTGATGATTTGTCACTGTATACTTCAGTAGGGCTGAAGTATTATGTGTCCTAGGATGTGGCATGAGGTTGTAGCTTCCTATCTGACAAAATGTCTCAATGCTGCTACTTCCTGTTGTTTTCTGATGGAGAAGAGGCTAGTGGATGGTAAATGAGTAGGTTTTACCGTCACCAACTTACCACTTTCTGTTTCTGCTTTCCTGTGGGAGGGGAGAGAAGACAGCGACAGTGTCGTCAGTAGCTGCTGGCAGGGGAGGCGTCGCCATAATATCTCAGAAACATCCAAACATGCTTCACATGAGCAACTTTTCATCACAATTCTTAGCAAATGAAACCTATCAAGGATAACCAGCACGATATAATATGAAACATATAAAAAAAGTGTTTCTATTGTCCTAAAGTTATATTCACAAAGTCACATGAGTGCAGTTCAGAGGGGGGTTCATAGTCTTGTCGTTGGGTTCACACTGTGGTAAGCTCCAGTCTCAGAGCGCCTGCAGTCCTCAACTGGAGGAAGAGGAGGATCATGGGAAAATGTACCAACAACTCTACGCAGTGAACTTATGCTCTATGCAGAGACATGGGAAGGCTTTAGAGTCTTATTCTCTCTATGTTGTTGTGGTTCAGGATGCTCGGTCTAATCTGGAAGCTGGCTATTAACAGCCCTCTCCCCCTGTCCGATGCTCTCACCTGCTGAGGATATTAGGGGTCGGATAGAGGCAGATACCTCATCCTCTACACTGGAAGAAGAGTTCCCTCCAGACTTACTGGAAAAGACAAGAGGGAATAAGAAAAAAAGACAGAAACACACCATGGTATTAATGCGGAAACCGACAAAAGGAAAAAAATCAAGTGAAATCAAAAATCAAAATCAATCAAAAATCAATGCTATCAAGGCTTAAACTGATCATTCACTGTAGAGAAAAGGTGTAAAACAGGCAAGGAAAATCAACTGCTAAATGTTCACGTTTAATCAGTATTTTGGGGGCTGATTTCCTCTACTTGTTAACATAGGCAGGATAGGCAGCCAATCCACTGATGTCAAAAGTCCATGGCCATAACAGTAAAGATTTTAAGGTGTAATCGCAGTAATACTGAGGACATATGAAGGCCTGCAGTTTACTCTCTTTGCCCAGATCAACATCGAAATCACATACTTTATGGCTACTCCTCAACAAAATCTAAAAACCAGGTCACATTACCTAAGTTGTTCTTTCGTTACAGGTGTCCAGTTATTAAAGACTATTAGTCTGTCTGATAAGGAGCTTCCTGCATGGTCCTTGTGTATCTGACTGAGACCTAGGCTGGCTTTAACACAGGATGAGAAAATGTGAGCAGCATGCGGGCGAGAAGACGTTATGCTGAGTTCCATGCAGAAGATGGAAGTCTGAAATTCCCAGCTGATGAGTTACAGTTACAGAGGACCATAATCCAGGAGTTAAAACACCCGTCAGATATGGACAATGTTAATTTTCTTCTAACTACTTGTGGAGACTAGTGAAGACTGCCATCATTATTTTCCAAATTCTTCAAAAACACCTTATTCACTATTTGTTTAATTTGTTTATTTTGAAAGTGCTGTAACTGTAAATTAATCATAGTGTGGCATTTTATTTCCTACATATTTTCTTGGTCACGCCTCCAGTAGGTAGACATCAGAATTAATATGGAGATACTTATTGTTTAAAATGACATTTTACAGTGGTACATGTAAAACCAGATGTTCTATCTTAAACAGCTTATCCATTAATTTTCTTTTTTTTCCCATAAGTTCTGACTTTCCATCATCTCTGGAAGGCAGCATACCTCACACTGTTTTCCAGTGAGTGAAAATGTAGTCCTGGTTAATGGGGTTGAATGTCTCTCCTTGTCTGAGAGGCTTGGTGACAAAAAGCCACAGAAGTCAAGCTAGTAAGTGAAGCGCTGAAGCGTTCCAGTCTAGTAAGATTAGTATTAAACTCAACAACAAGGCTTGAGGAAGTACATGTGAGTTACTGTACAAACTCTGGACGACAGAACCTTCAAGACACATTACACACACAAGGAAACTAGGAGGCTGATAGGAGCGCTAATTACAGCTATTGAAACTGTTTCACTGGTACCGTCGGCATGAGTAGAAGTGATGGAGTAAATAGGAATGATTCATGAGCAGACCTGGGTCAAAATAGACTTCAAAATAAATCAGCGAGATTGACAGAGTCTAAGAGATTTTAAGGCTTTTACCAAGGAGCAAATGGACAGATTTTACACTGTCTTGTTAAAGAATGTTGCTGTCTTTATTAGTCTCACCCAGGTCTGCTCAGGATGTATGGACAGACACCAGCTGTGTCTTTGACAACATAATTGAGCCTCCAGAGTACATTCAGTAACAAAATGTGTAAAATGTGAGGCTGACGAATACAATTTACTATAAAAAAAATTTCCTTCTGCCTCATAAATAATGAATTAGATTATAATTGTTTGTTCAACAAATGAAAAGTCAAAGATATTTGACTTTTCAACTATTAATGAATGAGTTGATCAAGAGAAAATGTATCAATATTTCCAGCTCTACTTCAAATTCATTTTTTTGTAAAGTTTATCTCCCAATTGTTTTTCTTTTTTTTTTGATAACTCTCCAGTGGTAGTTACAGCCTGGTACAAAATTACTAAACGATACCACCTACAATTTTGTACAGACTTGCTCAGCATTGTTTTGTTTGTCTACCACCGATACTCATAGAGTTACATGATGGTTGAAGTCATAGCTTAAGGTAACGAGATAAAGTGGTGGCAAACTTGTAATGCCAACATCTGCAGCAGCTGTTCGGACATTAATGTACAACATAAAGCTTCAGCATGGAGATGGAAATAAAGGCAATGAAAAAATGGTCAGATTATATTTTTCAAGTTCAGACATTGAGCCTGTTCAGCTGCTTATTAGCCCCAAACAGGTAAAGTAAAAAAGAGTCTCTTTTTGGAAAGTTTTTATTTCCTTCCTTCCAGTGATTTGATTTTTATCTTATTTTTGTTCTAAGACAGTTAAACACTTACATCACTTAGGTGCCTTTAATGTTTGTTGTACAGTTGTCAATAAACCACATTTCTAATTAGTATGAAGAATAATGTACAGAAATGGCCTCTAATACTCATTTTGTGTTTGCATTAACTGTTGTGCGACCATGTAATGTTTAGTGTATGAATCCAACAGTGAGACCAGTGTGTTTTTCTGTTACTTACCCTTGGACTCGTCCTCTCTTTTGCTCCTGCTGGAGCCGGATGTTCTCGAGCTTCAGAGGGCTGGGGATGAAGCCGATCTCACAGCCCTCTTTCACTAACCGACCTATCCACCAGTCATTGTTGAACTTCTGAGGACGATAACATCAAAGAAAGCAAAAAAAAACAAAAAAAAACAAGGAAAATGGAAGATGTTTTCATGATTAAGTTCATGTTTCACAGATTTTTGTGTGTGTGATTTTTGTCATGTTTAATTAAAAAGTACACATGTACCTCTTTTATGTGGAGGAAATCCTTGGCGTCAAAGGAGATGGCTGTGGCTGGTACTGGAACATCCTCATCCAGTGCACCACAATAGCTGACGTTGGTCCTTACAGCAAATGCCACAGGTTTAGTCTAGAGGACGGAAAAACATGCACAAACAAAATACAAATAATCACTGATCTAAAACATTTATCAGCCTTTAAGGACAAAAACAGTCTGTGTATGTGTGCATAGACATAGCCACAGATGAATCTGGCCAAGTCTTGTCACAGGTTGGCTACCTTGGCTCTCTCCAGTTGAATGGTGGCCTGCTGCTCCCTCTCCTGACGGCTCTGTCCCGGTCCTTGGCTCTGGCTTGGGCTCTGGCTCTGGACCTGGGCCTGCACCTCCCGCTCCTCCTCCAGAGAGACATCTGAGTCTGATGGTCTACTAGTATACGAATCAGCTGAGCCCTGCAAACAGAAACCACACCTTAGCTTTACTAAAAGTTGAGATACAAAACATACATTCTTGCTTCACATTCGTCTTCATTTGTCCTGCGATCTTGTGTGTGTGTGTGTGTGGGGGGCCACTGGGAGGGTTTGGTCACCACAGATATGTGTGAAACAATGGGAAAACATCGCCAGACCACACTCAAGTAATACAGCCCTGCTACAGGCAATTAAAATAGTCTCACCTTTTCTGTCAGCCAGAGCTGCTGTAAAGATTTCACCCTGCACAGCCAGTACAGTACAGTAGGAAAATCTCCATTTAGAGTAACAGGAAACTAGACTGTAAAATGTATGATCAAAGCATGACTAATGCAGATGAACAGTAGCACTCTGCTCCTAATTCACTGACGATTCACTGTTGAAAACCCGTTGAGGAGAGAGCAGTCGGGAATCATGAGAAAAACTACACTCAACACCTCTTCACAGAGTGAGACCATGTTCCAAAGTCAAGGACTTAAACTGAAAATCCTGTGGACAGATGAACTAGAATGATCCGGATCGTCTCTGAATAGACCAAAAAGCACAAAAGCTCTGAGGTTCATACAGACACGACACCGGCTGTGTTATAAAATGCACTCTAGCTTTATCTCATTGACTGTCAAATAATCAGAACTGCCAAGAACAATGAGATCAACTGAGAGAAAAAAAAAATTCTTTATGGAATCACTGACTGTCATAAGTTTAGGGGTTCACATCGTCTCGCATTGGGAGTGCCAAGTCCTGAGTGGTGGCTTGGCACTGTGAATGCAGACCAGGTGAAATGGATGATGTAGAAAAGAGCAGACTGCCAGGAGCATCTCAGACAAAGTGGAATTTCCATTCCTGTGCTGTCAGCAGTTTGTATGACCACACGCAGCCAATCTCACGTTTCCAGACAATACTGGAAAGACAGACAGATTTCTGCATCTTCTAGACAAGGAGCCACTTCTTTTTTTTCTTTTTACTTCTCTCATACAATCATCCCATTTGGCCACGAAATGTGACACCAACAGAGCCTGAGCCCGAGAGAGTAGCGACCGTCAGGTGCCATGGGGCTCAGGTATCCACCCTCTATTGTGCTCACTTTCCACATATGATGGAGAACAGTACAACTTAAATGTAACATCGTTATATAAAAATCACTGAACATAGCGGCAACATGAACATCTCTGTCCAGAAAAAATATCCTTGTTAGTCACGATCATATGGAAGCCCATTTATCCCAGAAAAAAAAAAACACATGAAAGGTTAAAACAAAAAATATGAGATACAAGTCAAAATTTATATATAAAGTCCGAATTATAAGGTACTAAATCAAAAATGTGAGATAGTAAGTTCAAAGATAAAATAGATTAACTAGTATTTAAAATTATTGATATTCATATTTGATCATATTTCAGTAAGAAGCCTTTCTTCTCAAATGCCTCCGTGTGCTTTGCTGATTTGTGGCTGTTTGTTATCTCCACCAGGGACGTTACGTTTTCACCTGTGTCTGTTGGTTTGTTCGGTTGTTTGTTTGTTTGATTCACTTTCCTTAATACTGCCGCACATTTTCCTGAATTTCTCAGGAAATAATGTAAAAAAAAACAAAAAAAACCAGACATATCTATGGTGCAGATCCAGATAATAATCCAGATGAGGTGGGAGAAAATGCGGAATCTGCATTACACAGAGTTGTGTTTATTAACAATCCTAAGTAACAGTGCTATAAGAGGTAGACTTCTTGATGCGCTACACCGACATGCACAACCACAGATCACAGAAACAGCTTGAGATACCTAATAATCACGTATTTAAAGACTTACAGTCATTTATCAGCTTTTCCAATGAGCTTCATTTTCTTAATGCATGATAGAATATAGACAAGGGCACAAATAAGTTCATAATGTTTAGCATAAGCAACATTACAGGGGCAGCAGAAGGATTTATCCATGTTTTGAAATTGGACAAAAATTGGAAGTATGTACTGTATAAGTACTGTATTATGTCATTAGCCCGACATGTGATGCAAGATTTGACCAGTTTACATTAGTAGTTACAGCTGCTAAAGTGTGTTATTGATTTCTAATCTATGATTTCATTTAATTTTTGCATTGATCCTACATTATTTTGCCCATCAAGGAGGTTACAGAGGCTCTTAGTGGATATAAAAAATGGTATTTCTAAACTAGTGATTTTGTGTTTTGTTTCCTTGCTGCCTCTTTTCATTGGTCTCTCAGGACATGCTGGACTTGCAGTCGTTCACTGCCACACTGAGAGAATTCCAGTAATGCAATTTTTTTTTTTGCTAGGACATGTCTGGACCAAGTGCCTCTTTCTGCTGTGTTAATCTAAACAATCAGCAGCTAATGATGATTCAATTAAGGAAGACCATTAGTCCCAAGAAGATCAATCAAGCTTGTCATCCCAGCTAAGCACTTTTTCGCTTTTTACAAGCTAGCAGTGGCAGGGCCTGACTTCAGCACACCGCTCATCTGGATTGTGTGCATGTAATCACAAAGTGCCACGTTCAGGAAACAATCAAGATTTCTTTTTTTTATTGAAAATACACAGATGAGGGGATTTTAGAAGAACAGAGTAAGAGATGCATCACTAACAGGAAAAATATTTTTTTGGTAAAATGGGCATTCCTCCAATTTTAAACATCAAGAGCCGTTGGTTCATCATGACGAGTGCTACTCAGCCTGTGAAAACACTTGTATAATATCATGTATGGCTCCAGAGCAGCTTTGTCAAGACTAAGAAAATAACCCTGATGACATCATTATGACATCATCAGGGTTATTTTCTTAGTCTTGACAAAGCTGCTCAGCTTGGCAGTGGAGACTTGAAATCTTTAAGAGAAATCCTGTGTTACAAACATTGACAGAGAGACATTTATCAGGCAGGGAGTGCCTAGTGAAAAACACTACAGAGTTGGATTATGGGAATTGTAGGATCCAGTGTTTCTGGGAATGAACCCATACTCTGAACTAAAAGTGACGATATCTAGGTCTTTCCACCCTTCTCTTCCCAAAATCTATCTCTTGCAAGTTCACCAAACTTTATGCATGTGCGATACTAGACTGCTGGAGTAACCCGTTAACAGTCACAAATATGTTGATGTTAATCATGCAAGCATAATTTGTGTGGACTCCAGTTACCCCAGAACAGTGAGTGTATTTTCTTCTCAAGACCAATTTTGCCTCCATTTCTGAAAATCCTCCAGTCCAACACTAACAAGTCATCCTGAACATCATTTCGTTTGTCCGTGTGGAAGCGTTGAGGTTGCACTGTAGCATCTAAGCCATTATCCAATGGAGTAGCTTCAGCATGTGACTCATCAACATCAGAATCCACTTAATGACATCACGATGCATGTTCCACCGAGCGTCGGCAGAGCCTGTACAACACGCAGTCGCAGGGTCAGACAACGAAATATTCGGCTGCTTATTTTTTAAAAAGTGATAAATGTAGAAATGTGACACAGGAGGATTTATCATTTGAGTGTGGCTGTGTAATGGGCAATAGGGGGGAAATGGGTAATTAACATCATTCCATCTTCCTCTTTGAAACAGGGCTAGGTCCATCTCTGAGAGGTACAGAGTGTGATGAGCACTAAATGGCTCCTCCTGGCTCTGGTGGTTTCCTGACAGCCGTTCTTACAGCCTCACAGGCGGGTTGCAGCCACATATTCAGCACATACAGAACCACACATCACACGCACATACATATTTAGAGAAATATATACAGAAATGTGTGAATGTCACACGTCAGAAGCCATCTGCCTAATGTGCCCCCCCCCACACACACACACACCAACACCCACCCACCCAACCCCCTTCCAGCCAAGCATAGCCCACGATCACGCTACAGTGTACTGTTGGCTAACCCATCAAAGGCCTCTTATGTGTGTTGGTGTGTGTGTGTGTGTGTGTGTGTGTGTGTGTGTGTGTTTGTGCGTGCGTGTGTGTGTGTGTGTGTGTGTGCACAGCTGAGCTACTTCCATCAATAAACACACAGCAAGAGAGAACAAAAGCAGATTCACGCACACACATCCAAACACTCACCGCCTCCGAGTCTTCAAATCCATGCAGGTACAAATTGTCATACATGGAGGTTTGATATTCCAACGAGTGCCTCTAGAAGAATGAGGGGGAAAAATGAGAGTGGAGGCGGAGGAGGCAGGAGGGGGCACCACAGAGAAAAAAAAAAGGATGGATGGGGGGATGACGACAATCCCTTCTCTCCTCAGCTAAGAACAATAATTTTAAAAAAATATCTCCCCTCCCGTTGGATCACGCCTGGTCCTCCAGAGGCCCGTCGCTTGATGGATGCAGCTTCTCCCTGATCCCACAGTGCTGCTGGCTGGCTCACATTATAGGATGGAGAGGCTCTCCCTGGAGGTAGCCCAATCCTGGCATTTCATTTCATCAGGCTTCCACGCGCGCACACACACACACACACACACACACGCCCACACAGACACTCACATATACATATACACAGCAAGAGCAGCAGAGGCGGCAGCAGCAGCAGCAGCAGCAGCAGCGGAGCAGTGGATCCTTCCTCAATATCCAAGCCTGATGACAGAGCCAATGTGCAAGGAGCTGATTGGCTGGCTGGCTGTCCACTCAGCTTGGATGAGCGCTCTCCTTGATTTTTTTTTTTTTTTTTTGTGCGGGAGGTAGCGAGGAATCGGGGGAGGGGGATGGAGGAGTAAGAGGGGAGCAGCATCCTCCATTTCCCTGTTACCTCTCATCCTCACTCTGCTTATTTATTCTCTAGAGGGCAGAAAAATAGATTTAATCTGGCTCTGATAATAAAAGGATGAATTTATACATTTGATCCATGTATTTAAAGGAATGGCAGCGTATTTCCTCTTGGGAATCAAATCATGAGTGGCATATCTATACTACAGTAAAAATCTCTAAAAAAAAAAAAAGACAGGCATATCATGCTTTTGTGTTTTAGGAATATCTAGGATTTTAGAAAGTCCAAGATCCCCACAATGCACCTCACCTGCCAATTGTTTTTGTGATGATCGACTAAACTTTTAATTGGTTAATCATTTCAGCTTTACACTTCTTACATCCAAATGAATGAGAGGGTCAGTCAGTCTTTTTTTATCACAGCATAAAATCTCAAATAGGCACTTTCTGAAATTGTGTGATTTCAGTCGATGACAGAATATATGTAATTTTGAAATTTGGCCATTTATTAATCCTCGTGATGAAAAAATAACAACAATAATTTAGGAGAAGGCTTCATAAATGATGATATAAAATATGATAAGCAGCGAGGGGGAAAAGAGCACTTTCTTTACCTCAGAAGTCGTAATGTCACAGCAGTAAATAATAGACAGGGTGTACTGTAATGAACAGTGAGTGCTCATGTAGAGGTCCAGTTCAGAGTCTTACTAAATGATGAGCCTCTGTCCAAATAAGTACAATTACAAACATCAAGCAAATATACAGCACCATCAAACGGGCAGCCACAGCAACCACTTATACAGTACCTCCTCTAGACCGTCCCAAAACCCACTGACATCCATTAGCACCTGGTACAACTTGCTCAAAGTACTCAAACTCAAAGGAACTCTTCAAAACCCTTGTGTTTTGAAAACCTGTTAGAAATGTTCGCTAAAACCTGTGAAACCTATTCAAACCTCTGCATAGAAACTCTTTAAAACCTGCACTTAAACAACAGGCAGAAACATGCCTACTGTAGGTGTCAGGGTTTAGTGGGCACCCTTACTTACTGATGTTTTGATAAGTTAGGCCCGTGACACCTCAATACGGTTCAACAATGTGTCTGTGTCCAATCTTAACAGACCTATTTGCAATACACCCCCATCATCTCCACTTATGTTGACAAAAACAACTTATCCTCTATATTAAGTTACAAATAAAGTTACATAACACAGCTCTAACTTACGTCAGAAACACTACACACTCTGTCTGCTGCCTACACGTTGCCGAAGCTGACATATTCTCCTTGGCACTTGATGATATGTAGTAGTCCACGTCATGCCAGGGGCAACTTGCAGAGAGAGGGGGGTAGTCTGCATGTGAGCTGAGAAGTGAAGATTAATATGGAGGGTATTGCAAAATAAAAAAATGCTTCTAAAATCTCATTTGTTCTCTGACAGACACCTGTGCTGCCACTTGGCTTTTGTCATTTATTATGGGAAGGAAATAATAAAAGCTGACCCTATAACACATGTATTATGTTTTTTTTTTTCTCCATCCAACACGTGACAATTTGCAGTCACATATGGATGTTATGCATATGTTTCCTGTGGGGTGCTAGAAAAGGAACAGTATTTCAAGGGTTGTCTAAATTGCATGTTTTTCTAATTAAAACCTATTAATATTAACTTCTAATGCTGCATATTTGGCTTTAGTCACAATGTTATCTAACTTATGAGGAAAATATGCAATATATCTTATCCTGTGTTAAACAGTGAGTCTTTTTTTTCCAGGGAAAAAAATCATGCTTTATGTAATAAAAATTTGAATGTGTTTAAATTAGCTTTCAGTCTTCTTTGTCTCTTCTCTTATCGGTGCACTGCAACCTTCTGTTTGCAGCGAATTACTGCCCTCTGCAGTCGACAGCTGTGTGTATCGTGTCACTCCTGTGCCTGTGATGTGCTGGTAGAAGATGTAATACAAGCAAGTGCAAAACAGGCTCACCAAAACATTATTTGATTATCAGTATACTAGTGTTTTCACGCAGGTCGTATCCTCTCCTCCATGAAGTTACCAGCCAAACTGTAGAAAACGCTTTCAGGACCCCCAGCATTACTGTGGTGTCATGAATAACGTCCCCATTTCAGGAGAAAACCAATGAGATACAACAAGCAGTGATCCTGAAAGTAAACGTGCCAAATTATCTGACTTTTCTAAACTGGAAAAATCACTCCAATCCAGAAATTGCACAGTCACTGCTCTCTGCGTTACATCCCAGGCTTTTCTTTGCAGTTCACTACCTGTCTGAGGATGAAGCTGGTGGAGGTGGTGCTGCCATCGGACCTCTTGAGTCGGCTCCTCCTCGAATAAGTCCCTCGGTTCACCTGTGTGAGAAAAACAACATCTCAACCAGCAGGAAAACTTTTTTTTTATCTACAAAACTTTCAATTCAGACATTTGGCTGCCACAGCACCCATATGACACATATAACACAACCAATCTTGCTTATGCTGTATGTTTTTGCATTGTGTGTGTGCCTTGCCTACTTATTTTTTCCTTACCACCTGACTTTCTCTTTTTCTCTTCTGAAAGTCCAAATATACCAGCAGTGGCCCTCTCCAGGGAGCTAAATTAATTATCTGCCAGTGATTTGCCCCATTTCTGTTCAAGTCTCCAGAGTTAATGACAATGTCACCGTTAAAACGTCAGAGCCTACTTCCCTGAATTCATAAAACAGGGCCATTAATCTGGGTCACCATCTCTCTTCTGTCTCCTTCTCTCCGTGTCTCTCAATTCAAGCTAACGGCCAAAACCCAAGAAGAGATATGAAGGATAGAGTCTATGAATATCCTGCTATTAATAGCAATGATCAATTAAGCTGAAGAAACATAAATTATCAGCCACCTAACAGAGGCTCATACATTCACTTATCTTTATAGACAGACTGTCGGGAGTCAAACACTGCAGATTTTTGGCAGAAGCTCTTACATTCTCTCACATCATTACACCTTAACAACAATTAAGTCCTTAAAGAAAGTACTTGATTATTCTGTTTTGTTTGCATCTTTTGACTTTAATAAAATGCCAGTGATTAAATGTGATATTCCTCAGCAAAGCCCACCATGGTGCTGTGAGAATAACTGTAACAGTTAATAGCGTATTACTATTATTATCTATTATTAGAGCCTTGTGTGTACAATTACCAGATAAGTAAAAGTATCTCAGCAAGATGACATTAGATATTATTATTATTATTATTATTATTATTATTATTACATGAAACTTTACAGGGATTAACAGGACAACATGGTTACAGTATGACATTTAAATCATCAGGTGGAACTAAAGGTTGTATGACAAGAAATGTTTTTATTAATATTTGATGTAATTTCTTGACTCAGAGAGAGTTTATATCACTTTCTCCATCTGCCATATGTAATGCTGTACCATGTACATAAAGAACTTGCACCAAGTACTTTATTAATTTTACTTTTAGGTCATGTGTGTCCAATATTATTATTACAGTAGATGGCTATTTAACAGTAGAATTTATGACTATTTGTCTTTGTTTTTATGTGAAACCAGTGCTAACAGTCAGGACAAGTTTTCACAGTGCGTCATGGCATTAACTTTTGAATTAATGTTGGTGCAATTTAAATTTCTACCAAGACTTTCTCGCTGTCTTAATTTTAAAAAAAGCCTGTCACCCATTCCCAACCTCCCTGATATTTGAATGTAAGATAACAGGTACAAAAGTGAATAGTGTTGGTTGAAGGTTTTAAAGTATTTTCTTGTATGTATCCCATAAACAAGGAAGCTGTAATATATTGAAATAAAGCAGGCTTGAAACTCAGGTAGAAATGACCGACCTGAAAGATGGGCGCCTGGATGCCCTCGCCAATCTTGTTCCGTATGTAGATGTGTCGGGACATCTCGGCCAGGACATCGGTCCAGAGGGCTGGCTGCTCCGGTCCAGCCCAGCGCAGGGGTGGCGGGTTCCGGGCTGCGTGCTCCAGCTTCACGCCACACAACAGAACATGAACGCTCGCTTCTCGCTGCTTTCCTCAACTGTCCACCTCGGGACAGGTGTTCAGCTTGTTCCTGCTGTGCGCGCTGGGACGGTTGTCATGCACACTGCCGCCGCTTGCGCCACTCAAAGCCAGGTGCGCCTGAATGATGGACGGAACTATTTTAGAAACCGGGAGGGGTGGGCGGGGGCTTAATTTATCCTGAAGAGCAGCATAACTTTCTTAAAGAGGCACGAGGTAACTATTTTAAACACAAAAAGGAACTATTTTAGGCTCAATTAGGAAATAAGAAGAACTTAATTGCTATCTTACAATTTAAATAACATATATATAGTATATCAGATCACACCTACATATCAGACACACAAAACGACCACACACAGGTTCATAATGACCATAAAGAGATACAAGGAGATGCAAAATAAAAAATATACCAGATTTAGCTACTATATCATTTCCATTTGCAGACAAACACTACTAAAATGTCATACATACTAAATTCAATCATGGATCCAAAAATACAGACAGATTTCAATCATTACACCCAATACTACGCAATATAGCCTATATAAATAATTCTATATATATACAAACGTGTACTTATTACTAGTATGTGTCTATATTACAGAACAATCCTTTGGCTGAGGTCCAGGACAGCTCACCTGAACCAGTCCTGAAATAGTAAAAATACCAGTAATTTGGCATGATATTGGGCCCCCCCTGCAGAGGTCAGTTTTATG